TGAGTGGCAAACCGCAGTTGGGTCACACTGAGCAAGAGAGAAATAAAAAGGCGCTTCTTTATAATTTTTAGTGGTCATCAAGCTCCTGGCGTAGGCGTTGTAAACCGAAGGATCGAAAACATCCCGTGCCATTGCCTTGTTATAATAGGTTTGGACTTCACCAGGAAGGAAGTTGAGGGGCTGACGCAAACGTAATTCCAGTAACATATGGGGAGTAATTAGCAACTTTAGTGGGCTTTAAGTGTTGTAATGATCGTAAATTTGCGGGACTATAATCCCAATAGAATGCATGAGCCAAAAAATCCAAAACGCAATGCAAGTCCCAATACAAAACGTACGAGAGGAGTATGGATAGTAATCCCGCAATTGAGCGTGCTGAAGGTCACAAGTGTAATATATTCTGAGGGCTCTACCTACAATTCTATACATTGGCAAAAACATCATTAATTTAAGCATCCGTTTTGGCTTTTTTCGTCATGTATTTATCAGAGACCGCATCTTCTTCTAAATGACGTTTTGTAGAACCATCAGTCTTTGTTGATGGTGTACTACTAATCGGAGGTATGAGCAATCCACTTTCAGTCAAGTAGGCGCTGCCAGTCATGGCCATCAAGTCAGCAATCTAATGCAAGTGATATGACAGTTCAAACGATCCATGTACAGAGTTTGATAGTGCAGGGAGTGATTCTCGCATTTCTTCACTGATACACCATCGTCATAATCTGAATAAACCAAAACTGTGCGAATTACATACCTTGTTACCAAGAAGAATCACAATACTTTCCATTTCAAGTATTTCGGAATTGATGGGATCAGGTCCTTCTCGAGCAACTTTTCCTTTCCCCTTTGCATCGACTTCAACACCAGCACCTTTGAGTTCTTCGTTCAAGAGTTGTATGCGCTGTTTTACAGCAGTACACGCCAATCTGATTTGTTTGATGGCTTCCTCATGTTGACCTTCATATTCCAATGGCAGAGCAAGTTTATAGTGGGCTTCAGCCAATTCACGATGAGGAGCATTCACCACCTGTTTGAGAGAGATGGCCATTGCGTACTCCATGATGGCTTGCTTGTAGTGACCTGAGACAAAGTGAAAGTACGGGTTAATAATCGGTCATGTCACCGACAGAATCGCATTTTTTTGCTCGTCCTCATTAAACGACTGAACATACCAGCATCAAGAGTAATATCCCCCTGCATCAATTTGACATCACCTAATTTGGCCATAGCGTCTGGAGTATCCATCTTTGTGTATATGACTCGACATATGTCCAAGATTTCGAATGCCAATTCCATATCGTCCTTTTCGTCGGCTGGAGTAGAAGCAGCTGATGAAACTTCTTGTGGTTGACCCTCGACTGGCATATTGGTAGCTTTGATAGCAGTAGCAGCTTGTCCAAGTCCTTCTTTGTCAGTTTCTTCCAATCCCGTGTCTCCTTCACCATCCCAGTCTCCTTGGTCGTCTTCCACAAATGGGTTGCCTTGAACTGCAAGACATCGGTACAAGTTTGAGTTGCGAATTCGAGCGACCAAGAAAACTCAATGCAAATGCAGAATCGATGACAGGCGATGTAACATACCACTTTCCAAATTATCTTGGTCGACTACATCTGGTACAACGGTAGGGTCCAAAACTCCCAGCCCATGTTTACGACTCAAAGCTGCCGACAAAAGGGTTCGTCCATACAAGAAGTAGGTATCAGCACATTCCGGTGCTAATTCCCCGTATTTTTGATTCCTGTACAGTGATTTGTAGAATGTTAAAGCAACCACAGGTGAAACAATGAAATGTTGAAGCAATCAAGAAACTGAAACCGAAAATTCTCCAACAACATCAACGTCATTACGTACATAATTTCCAAAGCAGTTGAGAACAGCTCCAAAGAGCTGTCCCAATCCGATGAGGTTGCTTTCTTCTTGGCTTCAGAAACCATCTTTGGGACATCATCTAGCCTGTTTTCGAGATCAAGGCTGGCATCCAATAGTTTGTTGAGCATCAGACTTATACGGACATCTTTCTCTTCAGCACCACCATACGTAGACTTCAGATCCAACAGATAATTCATCACATTCAGCAAAATACGGTCCTTGCTCTGGTCGTTCGTAGCATTCAAAACAGTAAAAGTTGGAATTTTCAGATGGTTTTCTGTGGTGTAGGAGGCTTTTGAAGCGGTGTCGTCGAGTAATATCGTGTTTCTCTAGACGAGAGCAACTCTGTGTTAGGACGTAGACCCTTTTGGAGCAACGATTTGGAAACTATATGCAAAACCACAACTTACTGCAGACCAAGTGCGAGTTGAATCAAGTTTGTCTCGACCATCGGCATCCCATATCTTTCGTAAGTCCTTAATCGAAGAATGGTCGTGTCGACCTCCTCGTACTTCGGAGCAGTGTGTTCGGTCCCATAAGAATTCCAACTGTTCGAAGTACTGTCCAAAAGCTCCAGTAGCGAGCGCCTTTGCGTTGCTTGGTTGAGCAGAAGTCCATGCTGCAACCGCGAAATTCTCAAATAAAAACTCCAAGAATACTCCCAAGTGTCTATTTGAGTGCAAAACAAGTCAATTCATCATCATGTTAATGAAGAAAGAAATGTGTGTTTCAAACTCACGGCCTCACATATACCGGAGCCTTGTTACACTTGAAACTGGCCTTTGGCGGTAGGAATGGGTTCTGATGGGCTGCCCTTTTATCACTAGAACGAAATTGTGTCAATTATAGTGTTAAAGCGCCAACACCAGAGTCACCACAGCCAACTTACAATTTGGTTACTTTACATAGTAGCGTCCCGTTCAGGTCTAAGACGAGGAGGATTTTGTCCTGTCGAGCTTGCATTCTACCTAGATCTCGTGGACTGGCTGCACAGTGTTCAAGAAGTTTTGAACCAAAATACGCGAAGTCAAAAAACGCCACTGGCTTCTCAACAGGGACACTCTGCCGACACTCCAATCAATACATTCGGTATTGCATATGTCAAATAGGGCTGATTGATGACTGGAGATCCTCTGAAAATGACAATATTGTCATCACCATCGAAGCTCGAAACTCCAGAACAAGGTCCTCTGCAACGACAGCTTGGAGTAAGTTTGGACGTGATACAGTCCATGTCCAGTATAGGATCAAACCTGTTAGATCATTACTCTCGGGTAATTTCATGTAGCATTTAACTAAACAAGTTATTGACAACTCCTCAATCCAACATTAGTAACAGGCACCGGGCTAAGTATCGTCCACACCAAGGCAACGAGACCTAATTTACTGAGAGCCCTCCTATCCATGGCAATAAGAAATTGTTGGGAGTAGATGCACTCTGACTAATTCTGTATTCCTCACACAGGTATATCCCCACTCTATATGGACGACCTACTCGTCACGTTTGCTCTTCCATTAATCGTTCAAATGGGTAGACTACAAGGAAGGCCTGCAACATGGAAACGGTTTAGACTCTTCATGTCGATGAAATTTGGAATTTGGTTGGTTGTTTTGACCTTCCAAACCGTGATATTTCAGATTCTGGGCCGGTATCTGTCATATCTGCCGTTTCCATGCTTGTTCCATAGTACTCATGGACTGTATGGTGCTACTGGAAGGGGGCTGGTGTTGTTGAGTAGTAGGATAGAGTCGAGGAAGTTGTTAGCTGTTAGCAGTCGGTGTTGAGTATACACGCTCTCTCATGAAGAAGACTCGACCCGTATCTCTGAAGGTCCAAAATGGATGACAATCTGTCAGTTTCGGTGCTCATCATATTCATATTTGAATGATTTCCATTGAGCTGCTTATACCACTGTAATCCCATGAAACCTACGGATCCGTATATTCGACGAACTAAAGCATATGTAAAAACCCTGTAAATGGACCACCACGTACTCATAGATCGTGATACTTACGCGTCAGAAGGAAAACGTTCGGGGTTCTGTAAAAACTGTCGCTTTTTAGCACCACACAGAACAAAGCTCACAACGAGAGACAGCTAAGATCCAAGGAATAACAAGTTCAGACGATGCAGGTTGAATGGGTAAGCTTCAATAATATACAGCAGTAAGCGGGTTTGTAAAACGGTCCGACCTGGCTGAGAGATTTCAGTCTCACGTCGACCGTTTGGCTGTGTTGTAAAAAGTTGGTTGGCCACCGCAACAACAAATTCCAACACAAGGAGGAAACAATCCCAGTTCGTATAGATGGTATCAAACCGTACTTATTGGGGCCTAGCCCTGATGCTGTTAACTCGCCAATGCTACGCTTTGGTTGCTGGCGATGCTTGCCCTTCAAGAGGAGCTTACGCTTGCAGTGGAACAGACTTTATGATGTAAGCTCCACGCTTGCGAAGCTGATGCAAGAGAAAAAGCTTTAAAATGTTCTTTTGTGCCTTCTGATGCAAGATTGCCTGTTGCATCGCACCTTTTTCGTACATTCCAACGCGACATCCAAGATCGCCGTAACGAAAGTTTTGCCAACCAACACGCTGTTACTAACTCAAATATATTTCTTTTCTAGATGTACACTCTCTGGCTGGTTGGGCCCATTGAGTTGCGGTCCGGGCCAAGAATGTCTGCCCAACGGTGTAAACAGTGTCGTATGTGCTCTAGCTGGATCTGGATCATCATCGTCACAAAATTCTCTTATTGCATCGCCCGATGCAGTCATAATACAGCCTTCTGCAGCCGCTGTAGTAGCTTCGCCAACGGTCGCAAACCAGGAAACAACACCTGCTGCTTCACCTTATGGATATGTACACCCATCAGCCAATGTCAATAACATAGCTGTTGCTTTCTCAAATATTCCTCAGGCTTCACCTACCCCAGACTCGAGTAGCAGTAACAGTGGCAGTGGAACCAGCAACCCTACACTTCATGCAGCCTGCTCTCCACAAGGCGCTTATGCATGCGCTAATGACGGGTCTGGTGACTTTTATATTTGTGGTGCTGCCAGCTGGATTGGTCCCATGCCATGTGGCAGTGGAACGGTGTGCGTTCCAACTGGACAAAACTCAATAGTTTGTGGATTCGCAGGAACGAATTACGCTCAGGCTTCGCCGAATCCAGTAGCAGCATCACCTTATATTCAGGTTTCTCCAACTGCGCAAGCATCGGTAGATACCGTAGTAAACCCAACACAGGTTTCTGTAAGCACACCATCACCAGTTAGTGGATCCACCAGCAGTAGTAACACCGGTACTACTAGTGCTAGTGGAAATGGCACATACGGGAAGCGTGTAGTCGGGTAAGCCACTGAGAATCTGTTACTTTTACCAGTGATTTCAAGTTGCTCGTTTTTGATGTGGAAGTCAAACCCCATCTCTCTCTTGTTTTATTAGATACCTACCTAACTGGACGTACTGGCAAACTCACGTTGGCCTGACACTTCCAGCAACCTATGGTGCTCATATGACGCACGTAAATCACGCTTTTGCGTCATTAGCGTACTCGCCAACACATGATGTGGTAAGTACGGTATTCTTGAGCTACAATGACTTGAACTTTTACAGTACAACAGCTTAAGCTCACGGGCAACTACATGTATATAGTGGTATGTCATGCCTTCAGATCCACAAGTCGACTACTTCATATCTGTGGGTAATGACAATGCTGCAAGTGGAACGCCCACGTGTCTTGACCTGAGTAAATACACATGTGGAAGTCAGTACAATCCTGGCCTATCCTTGGTGCCATATATTGGCGCTGGTGCTGGTTCAACGTGTCCAGTAACTGCAAATGATTGCTACAATCCAGGTATTAATACGAGATGGTTTCGGTTGCTTTTAAGTGTAGCTAACAAGATCTTCCAACAAACAGCTGGTACTACAACTCCACCCGGACGAGGCATCAGTTGTTTTGCTGATGTTGGTGCATATTTGAAGCAAGGGAAATATGCTTGTGGATATATGGGCTACTATGCTTCTCAACTGAAGAAGCAATACCCAAATATTAAAGTGCTGCTGTCGTTGGGCGGCTGGTATGATTCCAACTCGTTCTCCTCTGCTGTCTCGCCCAAGTACATTGACGGAACAGTGAAATCGATATCGGCTTATCTCACGGCCATGCAAATGGATGGTGTTGATATTGATTGGGAATACCCTGGTAGATTTTTAGTCATTTACGCGTATGATCAACTATGTTTTACCGAAATCTCACTTTCAATAACATAGGCTACGAACACGGCCAACAACCAATACTCCCTGGTGCTGCAGCTGGCCCTGGAACACCAGACGATATCACAGATTGTACAAAAGCTACATGCGCATACCCAGGCCGAACGCAAGATGGTGTAAACTTTGTCCTCTTCCTGCAAAAACTGAAAGCAGCCATGCCAGGCAAACTAGTCACTATAGCTGGAGCCGCAGGCCAAGACAAGATGGCCAAATACGACATGAAAGCAGTCTGCAACACAGTGGATTTTATCAACCTAATGACATACGACATGAATGGCGCATGGTCGGCATACACAAACCATCAGGCACCACTATTCGACAAGTCTCCATACCAGACCACTCCGGATTATAGCACGGACAACTCCATCCAGTATTTACAGAATGCAGGATGTGCGATGGATAAGGTAGTGCTGGGTATACCATTCTATGCACGAGTGTTTAATGGGGTGACGAAAGGGTCTGGACCGCTTTCGGGGCTGTATCAAAGTCATAATCATCAAGGACTGCCGGGCAACGCGTTGCCGTCGTATTCGACTATAATGTCGACTCCAGGGTGGACGCATATGACTGATAGCAGTGCTGTCGGTGCGTTGTCGTGGAATGATGCGACAGCCCAACTGTAAGTGTTGTCGTTAGCCTGCACATCGATTCTATGCTTGACCTCGTTATACTCACGATTCTTATGCTTTTTAGGGCCTCATATGATAATCCAACGACGATTTCTACCAAGGGCGCCTATTTGAAGAAGATGGGGCTGGGAGGTTTCATGTACTGGGCTTTGGGCATGGATACAAGCGCTGGTGATCTCTTTACAGCCTTGGTGAATGGGTTGAATTAGTTTAGGACGTTTTGGATATGCCTCATACATATAATTGGACGTCAGCTGTACATTGAAGCATTAAATACAACCGTATTAATACCATGATAACCATGCAAGGGCTCTTTTATTATTGTGTGCAAACTTATTCCTGTGCAAACAAATTTATTCTAAGTGCCTTTACGCTAATAGTCTTTTATAGTCTAGAGACTTTGCCTCTATCCCCAGCCGCACACCCGACCTCCCACTTCTGCGCATCGACCAACGACCTAACCGACACAAGCTGTTCCAAGCTACCAACATCCACAGTCTGTTCAGCATTCCACAACCTATACTCAACACGCCTCTTTCCAGGCAACATAACAAATCCATTATCATCAAATCGCCCCACATACTCTGGCTGCAGCACTTCAAGCCACACATACGGTGCAATTACATCACTATGCAATTCAAACGATATAACTCCATCCTTGATTTCCATAGCAGACATTCTAAAATGTGGTTGTAGGAGCGTGATTTTTTCGAATGATGTTGGGAAATATTCGGCAGTTGCGATTGTTAAGCCGTTTTGGTTGAGTGAGAGGGTTAAGAAGGTGTCGTCCATATCCAAGGTTGATTTTGAAGAGATGGTAGCGACGGAGGTGAAGGATGCGACACAGTCTGATGATGCTGACTTGCATGAGACGTTTAGCTTTTCGAGTTCTTGGGCCATTCCGGTTTTGAAGGAGTGGGCAGAGATGCTCAATTCTCCTACAAGTGCAAGATTGATTGATAAAGTATTTTGCAAAAAAAAGCCCATTGTGAACAGCATATTACCTGAAACCTCAGACATTGTATCATTCGACAGATGAACCTCATATGCACCATTCTTCTTGACTTCGAATGATGAAAGTAAAATGGGTGCAAAGAATTTCTTTGTGTAGTAGTGGAGCATCTTCCATTTTCCTATCAACAAGATATATGAATATCAAGACTCTCACGTTTAACACATGAGCCACACACCTCCATATTCAATTGAAGCCCAGGTTGCAGCTTGCCATATATCATTGCATTGCCTGTGGTGATTTAGAAGTTATAGTTTAAGGAATAATCAGCAAGCAAAAATCCCAGCAGCACAAAACACCACCTATTTGTACTTACCAATATAGTGCTCCCATACACATACGATCACTACCTCTCAAACGACGATAATGCTCAGTCTGAGCCTTGACACAAATGGCCTGCGACACTTGCGACAAGTAGCAGAACTGATCAAACATATCAACCGACATATCCAATGGTGGTTCAATGGGCCATTTAAATTTGTATCGTATTTGTAAATGCATTTCCTCTTGTCCGTGTTTGTGGTGATTTCTCATTATCATCAAGGGTGAGTGGGAGTTCCAGTCTGGTGGTGAAGTGACTTGTTTGTATGTTGAGTAGGAGGGCATGGCTTGGAAACCGTACTATTGAGAAAGGGACGCATCAATAAAAGATATTACTGCCTTCGTTGCTTGTTCGTTTTTGCAGTCAATTACCTCAGAAGCGAATCTTGGCCTCAACATTTTCGACACGTCTGTGCCATCATCTTTGTAGTTGTAGTAATGTACTAGTGATAGGCGAGAAATTTCAATTAGATCGGTTCGACCTTACAAAGAAAACTGACTTGCTCACTAATGATTTACCATCTCCAAATAATTCATATTCGTCAGCTTCGAATTGGAATCTCTCCGTGAATGGATCATCTGATACCAGTCCATTTGATGGTGAGCTGAATGAAATTAAATGACGTTGGCATCAGCAAATGATACAACTGACCACACAACTCAAAAGTTGTAAACTTGATACCTGGAAATATATGGACGAGTTCCATCTAGCTCCTTGACCACCGTCAATATCAGTTGGTGATAAAGACGATCGTAATCAATCTGACGGGAAAAGATTAGCTTATACAGGTAGAGTGGCCGCGAATTTATTCGTTCTTACCGCATAGAGGTAAGGATTCTTCTTCACCACATTGAACCATCCAGTGATGAGAGCTTGTTCATTCTCATTATTGCCACTCCACAGGACGATTGAGACATGATGCATCAAACGTTTGACTTGATGTTCCACCTCATACCGCACATTTTTCTAAAGATGGGTGAGATCAGCACGGACATGATGGTCGTTCTATAGCACAAACTGTCTTATTTTTTTACCATAAAGCTGGTGTCTGTTGGATAAAGGGCACATGCAAACATAAACTCTTCCCAGACCATTAGACCCATTTCGTCACAGAGATCATAAAATTCTGTCGTAAAACGAAAAAAGTAAGAAACGGAGAAGGACTTAATTGGTACCATAAGCATATACTCACCATCTTGTTGGTAAATTCCACCACCTATCCACGCATAGCAATTACAACAAAATTAGAAATTGAGGTACAACAAAATCCAGATTTGAATGCACTTACCCCATATTCTTATCATGTTGTGATTTGCTTCAACACAACTCTGCAACAACATTCTAGACAAAGAGATGAGAACCCAAGACAAAAAAAAACGATTCCCCATGATCGACTCATACCGTAATTTATCTTTGGTAACTCTCGACTCGAAGGAATCAGCAGGTATAAAATTAGACCCTTTGGCAAATATAGGCACATCATTGACTTCAAAGAAGAAAGTTTGTCCTTTCTGTCCTGGAATAGGTTCTTGCACAAGACGAGTAGTTCTGAAACCAATGCGTATAGGATTCGAATATGTGATGGAATCAATTGTTCCATCGTCTACAGCCATTATGACAGAGAGGTCATAGAGTGGTTGTTTACCAAATCCTGCAGGCCACCATTTGTCGATATTTGCATCTGGGATGTGGATTTCGAGCTCAAATTGTTCCAGTGTGCCAGGTTCTTGTCTGCGGATTTTGGATATAGTAATCAGAAACGTAATATGAAAAATGAATCGGGGAAGAGAGTAGAAAAACAAAGACCCTGAAGTGGGAATTACATCATAGCCGCCGTTGCTTACCGCAAGTACACAGCTTGTGAATCCGACACACATGAAGCACATTCGGCATACAGACGTGCGTTTTCGATGCCATGACCAGTCAAAAACACCTTCACCTAAATGATATAAAAAGAGTTTTCAGCAAACAAAGTGGTTCGGATTTCAGTGATGCACCACGCAGTACCTTCACACTCCATAACAGACCATTTTTACTAACGTCTGGACAAATATCTGAAATCCAAACAGAATTATTCAACGGCACCAAATAGATTGGTTTCTGGATTCCACAAGGAGCGAAACATGGACCCTGAGATGATGCAAAAAATCTACGTGAGTACATCGCATGAAAGTTCATCGACGAAGCCCACATACCCAATCCCAGCTGAAGGAATTCTGTTCCTTCCGAATAAAGTTTCGATTCCTTTCACCGTGTTGTTCAGGAGCGTACATGTCTGGAATATAGTATTTGCTCTCGCGAGCTTTCTCAGCCTGCGCGAAAAAAAAGGTGTCAGCAGATATAAGGCATCTCATGTAGATCAACGAGACTTACAGCATATGTTACAGCACTCTCAAAGCGAAAAGCGAGTTCATTATCTCCATCAACTAGAGCGGGTCGAACATCAAAAGTCCAACGTCGAAATTGGTTGTTTGCGTACCTTTTCATTGCTATTTTGTTACTTTTTTGCCATTCACGCCAACATGCAACAATCCACACGTACCCAATCTCTTCACCATTGAGCGAGATATGAGCGACAGTATCGAGTGCCTCACAAACCAGCAAGACAGTGTCAGCATCCAACAGTGTATCACCAGCAGTGAATGTAGTCTTGTACGTCCATTCTTCCAGCGCAATCCAACGGTACTTTACGTAATTGTCTCGAAAGTACGGTTCACCAATGATATTAGCTCTCATCAGATCTGCAGTTGGCTGGATCAGTCAGCAAATTGGATGCAATGTAGGAGCTTGAAAATTGTGGTGATGCAGTACCAGTGTGGATTTCACCAGGGACTTTTGCAGGGACCGAGATCGATGCATCCTTGTTGGAGACAGTCCATGACAGGTCGTCGAGCTTTAGAACCTGTTCTGGGTTTGAAAAGGCTGGCATGGTGTGGGTTTGTCAAACAATCCAGAAAAGGCAGCTAATACTTTACAGCAGAGCAAGTGCGTCCTAGATGGATAAAGTGCTTGATGAAATAGATTTTCGCTCTCTTGCGACAAGCATGAGCAAAAGCCTTTGTGGTCGATAGTAACAAAGTAATCGAAGAAACTGGCACACGTAGCAATCGGTCGCTTACTCAGACCCTTTCCATCATTTTAAGCCATGAATCGCAGTTTGGCAATACTTGACACGTAATGGTGAGCTTACCTTTGGTCCAGTTCACCTTGTCCTGGTTGGTCGTTGCTGCGATTCAATGTTTTTATTGGGTTCATCCACGTCCAAAGATAATTCACAGTAAAGACAGTACAATACTCCATTGCTTGAATATAACGCCAGATTCTCCATTCCTTTTGTGATTTACACGTGTGAATTCATTTCAAGCTTCATTCTTGTCCAAACCACAAACATCTACATAGCAGACAAGATGGCAGCCGTAGACAGGCCTGTGAACATTGCTAGTGCAAATATTCCAGTTAATTACAAGAATGATTTGGGTATGCATCCATAGATCTAGTCTACCATTCCCAGGAACTACTAACATCCATTCCTGGGAATACTTAGAAAAGATATCTCGATTCCTGGAAAAGTTCAGTGTCAATCCGGTCCTAGACACGCCAAGCTCACCCACAAACTCATTACAGAATCGATCATATAAATATCTAGACTTACTGGTATACAATTCAAGCCCTCCATCACCACATTTTGTGGGGATAGGACCGTACGGACTCGACCACACTCACATTCCTTCGTGTCTCATAGCAAGAGATAGCTGATCGGACTCGCGATACAGTTCTCATTGAATTGGACGATGTCGTCGCGGTAGGTACCTTCGTTCTTGCTCGTTTTATTACACAAAAGTGCTGAACTGCGCCCGATAATAGTTTGATCAAAACGATGACCTGGCTACAAACATTGAAAACAATACATACCGATACATTCATCTATTCGCTCAAGCTATCGACTCGGTCCTGCCAATAAATCAGACTCAGGTAACTTTAAGAGAATCAACGTTTGGATTGCAATTAAACACTATCATAACTGTGTGTTTTTTGGTTAGCCCACTGATGACACTGATCCGCTGGAAGTCATCATGTACCAACGTAGACAACGTGATGATGGAAGAGAAAACACGGCGGACGCCTTCCCGGCCACAATGACTCGTCGATAGTGAGTTCCATACCCTGTCCCAACAACACACTGCAAATTACTCATCCTTCCCTCTATGACATAGCTCGGTCAATTTCGCAGCTAGAACCACCATTAAGGACATGTCTGTTCGAGACGTTAAAGGTTCGGCCATGGGTCACTTGGTTGCTGTGCGTGGTATGGTGACGCGTGTTAGTAACGTCAAGCCTCAAGCTGCCGTCATCACGCTGAGTTGTGACAAGTGCGGATATGAATGCTTCCAAACGGTATGAATACGTTTCATGGACTGTTTTTTGGTCGTTGCACCTGATGATCAGTTATTGACCACTGTTTCATTTTCAGATTACTACGCACAGCTTTATCATTCAAGACAAGTGTGACAGTGCTGCTTGTAAAGCAAACAACTCTAAGGGTAAACTCTTTCCTCAAACTCGTGCTTCCAAGTTCTTGAAATTCCAAGAGGTCAAACTACAAGAAATGGCAAGTTTATCCACGACAACTCTTCGTTTTTTGGCACACGCTTTGTTAACCATTGCTAATCTACTTAGACTGATCAAGTTCCCATGGGACACATTCCTCGATCCATGACAGTAAACTTGTATGAATCTCTGACCAGATCAGTCAATCCTGGAGATATGGTGTCTATTACGGGTATCTTCATGCCAATCCCATACACAGGTCGTCAGGGTCGAAGGGCTGGTCTCTTGACTGATACATTCTTGTATGCCCAAAACGTGCTCCATCTCAAAAAACAATATTCTCAAATGGAATCCACACCAGAGATTGACGAAAAAGTCATGGCTTTGGCTCAAGATCCCGATATATACACCAAACTGTCTCACAGTATTGCTCCTGAAATCTACGGACACGAAAGTGTAAAAAAGGCCTTATTGCTCCTATTGGTAGGAGGCGCTTCAAAGGAAACCAGTGACGGCATGAAGATCCGTGGTGACCTAAACATGTTGTTGATGGGTGATCCTGGTGTAGCCAAGTCTCAACTGCTCAAATATATTTCCAAAGTATCGCCACGTGGTATTTACACTACAGGTCGTGGTTCTTCAGGTGTAGGTCTCACCGCCGCTGTCATGAAGGATCCCGTTACCGAAGAAATGGTTTTAGAAGGTGGTGCCCTAGTATTAGCAGACAATGGTATTGCCTGTATTGATGAATTCGACAAGATGGATGAGAATGATCGAACCGCCATTCACGAAGTCATGGAACAGCAAACCATCAGTATTAGCAAGGTATGCATCATTTCCCTGTTATTCCTTTGTGGGGGCAAAAGTAGTGTTGTGTTGTGAATACGAACGGGAGGTTCCGATTGGTTCGCTCGTGATTTGTTCTTTTTGGCGTAGTGTTTCTAAGGTTTCCAACTCTAGGCTGGAATCACTACAACGCTGAACGCTCGAACTTCCATTTTGGCTGCCGCCAATCCTCAGTTTGGTCGATACAATCCTCGCTACAAGCCGAGTGAAAACATGAATTTGCCCCCTGCCCTTCTCAGTCGGTTTGATTTGCTCTTCTTGTTGCTTGATGAGGCAAACCAAGACGAAGACATGAGGTCAGTGGTTATATATCTATCCAGCAAGTTATATCTTCACCCAGCTACAAGTTTTCTTTGCTTGTCATCCTAACCCTTCAATCGTTCCCAAACCTAGACTTGGTCAGCACGTTACATATGTACATATGCATAACACACACCCACGGGCAGAAGGAGAACCAGACCCGGTTGAAATTCTGGTCATGCGGTACGCTCTTTGACCCTTTCCTGCTGATTGCGACCGAATTCAAGTATTCATCCATTTCTTCCTAGTCAATTTATTGCCAAGGCTCGTTCATTCCGTCCCGTCATTCCTCCTGGTGTCGCAGAGTACATTGTTAAGTTGTATGTACAATTCCGATCTGGTGATGATTACTTGTCGGAATTCCAATACACCACACCAAGAACTTTGCTATCTCTCATTCGGATGGCCACAGCTCGGGTAAGCGCTTATACGACAGACTGTTTGGACATTCACAGTTGGAAAGTTACTCGGTACTTACCCTTCATACACAGGCTCGTGTGAGATTCTCTGAAGAAGTGACGATTGCTGATGTTGAGGAGGCTCATACTTTGATTGAAGCCAGTAAATCCAGCTTGATTCGTCAAGCACACAAGGGCAAGAGGTAGATGCACACATCATCCTCAGTCTCGGTGTGTTTTCGTAAGTTGAAGTGCTTATTTGCTGACAACCTTCAATTTGTTAAGGGATCCATCGGGTGATATTCTGGAGATTGCTCGTCGCATGGCGACAGACAGCAAGGGACATTTGACATTGCCAGTAGAGTATGCCTTGCTCAAGGAACGAGTGATTAGTCGTGGTATGAGTGAAGAGAACTTGAACACTGCCATTCACGAGTACGAGATTGCGGACATTTGGATGCTTGTAGCCAATGGAACTCGTCTCCAATTCCTCTATAATGAGGCCGACGAGGATGAAGAAGAGGGAGAGAAGGAAGGAGATGAAGAACAGCAAGAACAGATTGAAGATGATGATCTTTGATCTTTGTCGTTTTGTTGATAGTGGGTAACTGTAATGTTAACAGGGTATGTTGTATATGTATCAAAAATATAAAGACAAATGATTTTTCGTACCGGGCTTGAGTTGCATGATCCTGTGAGGTCTTCCAAAGGCTTCCAGTGACTTGACTCTGATCTGCTTTACGTGATTGCGTGATTAGGCAAGTACTGATCACGCGTGTTCGAAGCATAGCTGTGGCTCTTCCATAAACTTCCTCACCGAACCGCACCTCCTGTTTCATCAACACATCTTGCTCACTCGCTTTCAAATCAAAGTAGCATCAAGGAACCGTACTTTCGACAAGAACCAGTTGATATCTACTCGTATCTTCATATACAAGTCTACAAGGCAAGTGCAAATAATCAGTGACCTACCGCCCCAATTCCTCAAAGCTCGAATCGGAACTTGTTAAAGAAGTTGAGCGAAGGAAGTTTGGGGTGTGTTTGACGGCAACCAATGACAAATCAAATCAAAAATTCAAACATATTTACACCATTCATTTCCATCATTCAACCATCCATCTCAACAATCTCGCAAACATCTAATTTACTACATTCAAATTTCAGGTTTGAGGGAAACTGAGTTTGTGAGGAACTTGCCCAGAAAATGTCGGCTATGGAGGTAGACCAGCAACATAATGGAGCTCATGCCCATACTGGTGGAATTGATGAAGGATTGTATTCGAGACAACTGTATGTATAGTTTGGACAGATGCAAAGTTGGAGTATACGTGCATTTCATGGTGCTTATTACCATCTTTTTATTTAGATATGTGTTGGGTCACGATGCCATGCAGAAGATGTCCCTCTCAAATGTATTGATTATCGGATTGAAGGGACTTGGTGTTGAGATTGGTATGCCAATGAAAGACCATGTTTCATCAACCCTCTGTACCCATTCCTTTTTTCCCCTCATTCTCACCACAATTCGTTTTGTAGCCAAGAACGTCATCCTCGCTGGTGTCAAATCAGTGACACTATACGACCCAGCTCCAGTAAAGATACAAGACTTGTCGTCCCAGTTCTTCCTCACTGCGCAAGATGTGGGTCGTTCACGAGCTGATGTCACTGCTCCTCGGGTCGCTGAACTCAACAATTATGTACCCGTGTCTGTGTTGGAGGGTCCATTGACTCCGGAAAAGATTAAAAAGTATCAGGTAGAAAGAGTCGCTGTTTGTCAATGACTATGATGATGTGGACAACGTCTTGAACACTTGTCTGAATGAATGATTATGCGTATAGGTCGTAGTAGCTACAGAAATGTCGATGAAGGAAAAGTTAGAACTTAATGCCATCACTCATGCCAACCATATCAAGTTTATCGCTGCTGATACCAGAGGGCTCATTGGGTAATACAGCTAGATATCATCTGGGGGTTTTTTTGGTTTTTAATTGGATTCCTGCTCATCAATTTTTGAATGCCATATAGATATGCATTCAATGACTTTGGTGATGCTTTTGAAGTCACTGATCAGACTGGTGAAGAAGCTCTGACTGGAATGATTTCTGGTATTTCAAAAGTGAGTTAAACATGATTTCGAAAGCAAAAAAGAAACGATTATCAACTTGAAGAATGCTTTAGGAAACCGAAGCGTTCGTAGCTTGTCTAGAAGAAACCAGGCATGGTTTAGAAGATGGAGATTATGTTACATTTAAAGAGGTCAAGGGCATGACTGAATTGAACTCTGCTCAACCTCAAAAGATCAAAGTCACAGGTATGGGGGTTTTGTGCGTCTTAGCGTAAATTCAAGCTAGAGATCCGAAAAAGAAAAACACTGAACTGAACGCAATTGATATCCAGGACCTTATGGATTCAAAATTGGCGACACCACAAAATTCAATGATTACCTCGATGGCGGTATCTTTACCCAAGTCAAGCAACCAAAAACCCTCAAATTTGTAAGTAATTAATATGACTTACTCGACATTAAGTCATTCTCGACTTACACCAAACTCCACAAAAACATAGTTACCGCTCAAGGAATCGTTGGCCAAACCTGAATTCTTGATCTCTGACTTTGCAAAATTCGATCGACCTGCTATATATCACGTTGCCTTCCAAGCCCTCGATAAATTTATAGAAAGCCATCATGGTGAATTCCCTCGTCCTCGTAATGAACAAGATGCAGAAGAAGTCTTGAAGATTGCCACCGAACTGAACAAGTCACTACCTGAACCCTTTGAATTGGGAGATGGTAAACTTGTGAAAGAATTAGCATATCAATCTAGAGGTGATTTGACTCCCATGGCTGCTGTAATCGGTGGTTTGGTAGCTCAAGAAGTATTGAAAGCATGCAGTGGTAAATTCAGTCCCATCAACCAATGGCTATACTTTGATTCACTCGAATCGCTACCAACCAGTGTCACCTTGTCGGAAGCAGAATGTGCTCCAAAGGGCAACCGATATGACAATCAAGTCGCTGTATTTGGTAGCACCTTCCAGCAAACTATCGCCAACACGAAAGAATTCCTTGTTGGATCTGGAGCCATTGGTTGTGAAATGCTCAAAAATTGGTCCATGATGGGATTAGGCACTGGACCAAAAGGATTTATTCATTTGACGGATATGGATACAATCGAAAAGAGTAATCTTAATCGTCAATTCCTATTCCGACCGTCAGATGTATCGAAACTCAAATCAGAATGTGCTGCTGCGGCAGTTGCTAAAATGAATCCAGACGCCAAGGGTAAAATACGTGCATACCAACAACGGGTCGGTCCTGAAACAGAAGACATCTTTGATGATGCTTTCTGGGAAGGCTTGACTGGTGTCACCAATGCTTTGGATAATGTTGAAGCTCGTAAATATGTTGATCGTCGATGTGTATACTACCGCAAGTCTTTGCTTGAATCTGGAACGCTTGGTACCAAAGGAAATGTCCAAGTAAGTTTTAGGGTTTGGTCGTTTGGAAGGCAGTGGTTGTTTCAAGCGAAAACAACATTTGTTTCAGTTGACCATGTTTTCCGAGCATTAGTGATGGTCCACATTGCTTCGTTTACGAACTCACATCCCTCTTTTCAGGTGGTGATTCCTTACAAAACGGAGTCATATTCTTCGTCTCAGGATCCACCTGAAAAGTCCATTCCTATCTGTACATTGAAAAACTTCCCCAACGCTATTGAGCACACCATTCAGGTATTCGATTGCTGCAGCACGGTTGTAATTTCTCGCTCCGTTATTGAGCATCAATTTTTGTTGTAGTGGGCTCGAGACTTGTTTGAAGGTCTATTCAGACAACCTGCTGAGAATGCCAACCTGTATCTTCAACAAGGAAAGGAATTCGTTCAAGCCACGATGAAGCAAAGTGGTTCACAGGTATGTTGAGATTCTGTTTTGAAAATAGCTGTGCAGGCAGCGTATGCTCGTCAGCAATCTAGACGGCGATTTTTTTTTGCTGCTGTGTCTCATTCTCAATACTGCTTCTGCTTTTATAGAAAGATACCTTGGAACAAGTTGTAGCATTCTTGGGACCATCACGTCCAACGACATTCGAACAATGTATTCAATGGGGTCGATTCAAGTTTGAAGAATACTTCAACAATCAGATCCAACAATTGTTATTCAACTTCCCCAAAGATGCAGTAAGTTGTAATTGAAACTTTTCCAGCCATTTTTTTGCTTTGCTCCTCTCACATAGGAATGAAACTAGGTGACTTCTGAAGGTAATTCCTTCTGGTCTGGACCAAAGAGAGCTCCTGATGCGTTGGTCTTCAACGCAGAGAATGTAAGTCTCCAGTTGAAGTGTTTGCGAAACCATTTTTCCCATCTCAACTTTCCTGTTTTAGCCATTACATTTGGACTTTATTGTCGCTACTGCCAATTTACATGCCTACAATTATGGAATGACTGGCTCTCGAGATCCTCAATATTTTAAAACAGTACTGGCCAATATGATCGTGCCAGAGTTCGTACCTCGATCTGGTGTGAAAATCCAAGTACAAGAGAATGAACAGATGCAAACAGGCAACACTGATCAAAGTGAATTGGATGAATTGGTTGCTTCACTACCTCGTCCAGCTGATTTGGCAGGCTTCCGTTTGTCACCAGTAGATTTCGAAAAGGATGACGATACCAACTTCCATATTGACTTTATCACTGCCGCATCCAACTTGCGAGCATCGAATTATGCTATTGCTGTGGCTGATCGACACAAGACCAAATTTATTGCTGGCAAGATTATTCCAGCTATTGCCACTACCACTGCGCTGGTTACTGGTCTGGTTTGTCTTGAGCTCTACAAGGTTAGATTATTTCTCCGTCAATTGCTTTTTTGCCGAGTAATTTTAACACCCGATTTCCAAAAATAGATTCTTGATAACCGTGAGAAATTGGAAGATTACAAGAATGGATTTATCAATCTGGCTCTCCCCTTCTTTGGTTTCTCGGAACCTATTGCTGCTCCTAGTCAATCGGTATGTCTTGAATGCCGTGACTGGATGACTCATTCTCTGGATTAACCCATCGTGTCCCTGTCTAGTACCATGATATCAAATGGACATTATGGGACCGATTTGATTTAGATGGAGATTTGACTTTACAACAAGTCATTGATACATTCAAACAAAAGCATGAGTTGGAGATTACCATGTTATCTTGTGGTGTCTCTATGCTCTACTCATTCTTCATGCCAGCCAAGAAGAAGGAAGAACGACTTGCTTCAAAGTATGACTTGATTACAGTTTGAGTAAACATTGCATCGGTGTCGCTAATCTCTTCCTTTTTTGCACGGCTTGTAGGATTTCCAAACTGGTCGAAACCATTTCCAAGAAGCCAGTTCCACCTCATGTTCGCTCATTGATACTGGAAGTGTGTGTGAATGATAGGGATGGGGAAGATGTAAGTTGTCGTGTGGGATTAGTGTTGAGTCTCAAATCCAATGATCTTTGTTTGTCTGATTTTTTTTCCCTTTGCTAAAACTAGGTTGAAGTACCATACGTCAAGTTAAACATTCGACCATTGAATGCCGCCGAGTAAAAACATGAAAAGTCAGATTTATCTACACATATATTTTTCTTTCACCTTTTCCCCCTTTGTTGAGTTGAAGACACATACAAGTTTAAAATAGAAAATACTTGCTTTTACAGAATCATTTGTGTGATTTGAAGTTGGATATGTCACAGTATTTATATCAGCTCTGTTATAGTATGGCTACACCATTCTCTCTGGCTTCCCGAATGTACCGAATGTACCTCTTGGTTACCTGACATCCACCCATCATGCGATCTCAGGAACGAGACCCAGTCCCTTCCCACCATTAAACGATCCAGCCCATTTCTGGCCATTTGCATCAATGACTTTGCCTGGTCCTTGAGGCAATCCTTTATCAAAATCACCATCGTATTTCGAACCGTCTGGGTACGTATAGCATCCAGCCCCTTGAAACAGACCGTCCTTCCAAGATCCTTCATACGAGCTCTTATCAGAGTACCGCATAGATCCTAGAATATGGGAAAAACATTGGTTTTAAGAATGGAAAAAAAGCCTGCATCATCTTATCCAGCATTTGTTTTACCAGTTCCAGACATCTTATCCGCCTCCCAACCACCGATATACAGTAATCCCGTCTCTTTGTTTTCGAATGTGCCCGTTCCGTGCCTCTGAATCACGGTTCCTGGGTCAGTTGTGCTCTTGACCTCTGCATATTCGCCATCTAGTTGATGTTTGATGTATGAGCATTTAGGGAGGTAGATGGTATCAAGGCAACCATACTATAGGTTGATCCATCACGGAATACATATGATCCTTGTTTAAGGACTGGCGTTGGTGCTATTTGAGCGAGAAATGTCAGAATTCAATCAATGTTGCATTTTCGAGTCAGCAAGATTATTGACTGATCTAGATCAGTTTCCATTTAAAGAAAGAAGCAACATATTCCAACAGCGAGACACACCAGATTCTGGCCTGCCTTTAGCTGGTTTCTTTCCCGACATTTGTTACAAGGATGCACAACAGCAGATTGGTAAGTTGCAGCACGAGATTTAAAAGGCTGGTTTGAACGTGTAAAGCGAGGAAAACCGAATATCAATTTATGTTGGATTTTCTCCTCTGTTGACCGGGAGTACACGCAAAATAATCATCCAATGAGCGTGTTCTTTCATTTTTGCTCTTGCGGCCAACTATTTTCTCTCAAAACTACAAGATACCACAATCACGCCAAAGTCAATCGAAGCTGACAGAGGGTCATCTGGCCGGGTTTCACATCAAATTGAAGTCCAAATTCAAATTTTACGAGTTTACTTTTATGATGGTAAATCACAACAAATTTCATTTACATAAATTCGAATTTTAAACCAAGTCATTTACTTTCTGGGCATAAACCAAATCTTGATACCATATTTGGCACGCATAGTACCGGTCACGGCATATTCCATTTTCTGCATCGTTAAATCGAGTTTCGATCAGCCAAAGTTTGTAAAAAACCAAGACCATTCTGTCACTTACATGACCATCAACAATGCCACAATCAAACCTCCTCAAGATTGACGCAACAGTGATTTTACCTTCATACAAGGCAAGTTTTTCTGAAAGAGACGTACATGAGGAAAGTGTGAGTCTTTGATCCCAAGTTTTGAAAACCAAAACGTTCAGTGTTGAAACTTGCTTACCTCCCAGACAGCGTCTTGGTCCTCCACCAAACGGCACGTAACTATTGAAGATTAATGGCAGATGGATATGTCAAATTTGTGATTTGCTTATATCGCGTTCATCGTCTCAGGCCATTGTACATACGCATAAGGATCAGTAGCATTCTTTGCATCTAGCCATCGCTCCGGCACGAATTGCAAAGGTCTATCTGGGAAGTTCTCTGGGCAAAGCTGGGCAGCCATTGGCGAGTAGAAGCAGTCGGTTCCTAATTTGTTTTTAAACTGGATTAGATTTCGACACGACAACTCAAGCAAAGTCAACGCAACAAACCCTTTGGAACAAATTGCCTAGCTCTCCGTCCATTTGGAAGCGTCCATTCGTATGTAGCATCCTTGGCCGATACTCGCGCAAGTGAGGGTGCTGATGGTCGCAGACGAAGAGTTTCCTGAAAATGCTGACAGGCTCAGAGACTCGTTGAACGATTCTCAACGTATGCAGGTGGTCGTTACCTTGATTACGGCATTTAGGTACGGAAGTTGCTCAAGAGCTTCATAGCTCAGCGGTCCAGATCCAAGTGTATCGACTTCTCGGCGAACTAGTTCCAGTTTCTCTGGATGCTGGAAGAGGAATGCCAAAGTCCAAGTGATTAAAGACGATGTAGTGTCTGAGGAAGAGTATGTGATCAGTATGGGGAGCACAACGATACAAAATCAAACAGCATGTTGCAATTACCATGTCCAGCGAAAAGCAACGAAGTGAATTCTCGCAAAAGTTGCGGTTCGTCATTCACATCCCATGGAGCCATTTCTGGTTTGTCCTTGATGGTTCGAGCGTATGTTGATAGAATGCACACGTCGTCCTTCGGAATACCACTGATTCTGTACTCTTCCAGCTTATCCAATATCATTGCTCGTAATAGAGTAATATCCTTGTCGTATTGGTCCTATGAAGAAAGGATTGAGTTTTTCTGCTCGACACACAATATGAGCTACCACACTCAGTCTGGAAGACATACACATCGAGCGTCTCTCCACAGCCAGTTGTAACCAATATTCTTCAAAATCATTCTTAACAAAAGGAAATTTAATGAGCGCTCCCAGGCTTTAACATGGTTGGAATGTCCTCCAGCTTTCACGCTGCCCTGCAAGACGAAGCAGTTAGTGCGAAGTACAAAGAAAGCGGGAGGCACCTAGATCAAACTATAAATGCCTCTTTTCTTACGTACAGGATCAAACCCCAAAGTAATTCCAGTGATAATGTCGAAAGTGAGTCCATGAAACGCAGGTTGCAAATCCAAGCCAGGTGTCAGGGGACCGGAATTAGAAAAAGACACTTGAGACTCCATCCATGTTAACAGATCGTTCACACGAGCTTGCACAATTGGTTGGTATGACTTGATTGCCACAACGGAAAACGATGGATCTAATAGCAAAGCCCACATATTGAATAAAAACTCGGATAGACGAGAGCGCAAGAATGATATCTTACCAAAGAAGTGTCGAGATTTCTTCCACGCAGGTCCGTTAGGTGCCAAGAGTAGACCACCTGAAAACACGGGTAAATTAGTATCTCACAAAGCAGAGATAAAACAAAAGTAAACCCTCCTACCAGCTACATCGTCAAACGCTTTAGCAATATTCCCCCCTCGTGTCCAGGTCTCCCACTCAGTTTGTAACATCCTCTTTATAATACCAGGATCTGCGACAGTTATGAAATTGTTGCCGGTATGTGTCATTCGAACGACACGTCCCTTCTTGTTGATACATGCGATAATCCAATCTATAAAGTTAACTAGAGCAACAAAAATGGTGTCAGAGCTTGCCAAAGGATAAAACTGAAAGGTACGCAAAACACAATTCAATGTCGCGGTCTACTTGCATGGATTTGCGAGTATATCAGGTAGACATCCTATAAAAGGATATCCATACATTATAGGTGCATCGTTTGGAGCCATGAAATTCCATGTATAAGACCGTTTTCGCATTCTTTGATCTAATAAGACTAAGGCGAGTACCACACCACCAGCAATGGATGAGCGCCGTACAAGTTCGGGCGTCAACCACTGGGACGCCATTGTAGATCCGGTAGTTCTCTGGGCGTTCCTAGCTTGCTCGAACAACAAAAGATCTGACGAGACAGTGGTTGAATTCGACGAGCCACATAGCAGCAGACCAGTGAGGCAGAGCAACGTAAGGTGTAGCCGAATAGACAATTCTGCTTGTTCCACGCGTCAAAGGCGTCAAATGATTTAATTATATTATCTGATTCTTTTCGACGTTCGCCGTGTTTGCGTCTTGATCACTTTCTTGTTTTAAAACGCGTGCAGGATTTCACTCACAGTTCATTATTCTAACTGACATTTTATGTGCAAAAAGGGTCAAATACATATATATCAAGGCAGGGGGTATCAGTAGGCATAACTTCCTGTTCCATTTTCTTTCTGCCCAACATGTTGTTGCTGACATGGAAAAAGTCGTTAGATGTATACAACTGGAACCAATCACTCAATTAAAACAAGCCACATACCACCAATTGCTGAGTTTCACTTGCGACTTGGACAGCCTTGTCAACATATGGCTTCACAATTTGCCCAACAGAGGTCTTGAGAGCCGAGTTCCCATATAATACAGCGGTATCTTTCAAATCACCAAGCCTTTGTTCAACCTTGAACCAGCCTTTGAGTGAAGTAGCAATACTCAATGCAGTCTTGGAAGCGCCCAGCTTTTTATCAACCCAGATTGCCGGTGATGCGATGACTTTGACCATTTTCGTGAAGCCAAGTTTTTCTAAAAGAAGGATCATTTTAGAAAACAAGTTGAATGTCCCGAAAGTGATGCTTCCAACCGGTTGCGATCAAAGGCCATGGGAAGTTACGTACGATCAAACTTGATGACAGCTTGTAGAATCTTTTGAGCATTTGCAAATGTTCCTGCCAAGAATTCCGCCAATCGTGATTTTGATACAGTTCCAGCATTTCGTTGATGGTGAAGAATTTGTGGGCCTTGACCAACCAGTTCGCGTACGGTTTGTTCAGAGTAGAGTTCGACTCGAATTGGTTTGCCTGTTCGCGATGCATGGGATTAGAAGACGTATACATGATTTAGATGAGACTGGTGAAATTTTTCACATCTGCTTTGAATAAAGGCTACATACCAACAATCATGGCGTTTGTGAGCATGATGGCCGTACTAATCAAGGATGAGGAATCAGCGAAGTTCGAGTAGAGAGCATATCAAGTGCAAATCAATAAAGCTGCAGCTGAATGCAGTCGTTTGCATACCGTGCAGCAGATTCTAAATCAAGAGCACGTGTCAAAAACAAGAACTGTAAAAATAGTTGTGTGTCTTGTTGAGCGTACATACCCTTCTCAAAGAGAATCAAAGCTTCTTGCGAGCCCGCGCTTTCAGACCTAATCGGATGATTTATAATTGACAATTAGTTTGGGTGCTTCACGAAGGTATCGAGTGTGGCAAGAAATACGTGCTTGATGAGTTCCACGTCTGTTATCTTGCCACAGAATACGAAAAAGTCACGGACTAGATTACATGTTCAAAATAGGATTAGTACATATAATGTTACATATACGATAGCTTGAGCTTATTGATTATTCGCCATTCGTCGCTCAGACTGTTAAGAGGAAGGATAATGTAAACTTGTCTAGACAAGACTCACTAGTCTTTTCTGGAGCAGAAAGCGCAACATCCGAGACCCATACGAGCCTGTTTCTGTTCTGGTCGGAAGGGGTTATCTTGGTAAAGCTCCCTTTGCCCATCTTGTTTTTGAAATGTCTCAAAGACAGGACGCGAATATCAACTGACTTTTGTAGGCCAACCATGTGGAAAATGCAACTTTTGAACTTTTGATGCTCGCACCTGATTTTATTGCAGTCCAGTATGGACTATGGACTCTGAGGCATGTACCAACGTACCAACACAGAACACTACCCAATTCTTGTAAACTATGCAACCAAAGATCGCACTGGTGACTGGCGGTAAGGCGCTTCATTTTACATCAATTACAAATTCTCAAATCGTTATTTCGTTTGAATTATTACTAACAACCGACAATTGTGTGCATTGTAGGCAACCGTGGTATAGGAACTGGAATTGTGAGGCAACTGTGCAAAGTACTTCCTAGAAATAGCACTGTATATCTCGCCAGTAGAAGCTTGGCTGCTGGCCAGGAAGCCGTCGCAAAACTCAAGGCTGAAGGGTTGAATCCTGTGGCGATCAAACTCGATTTGAATTCAGCGTAAGTCTTGTTGAAAAGGCCTGTTTGAAGTACATTACAGAGTCAGTTCTCGCATTTCCTTTCATATGCAAGAGCGACCATGTCTTTCCATGATACATCTTCTACAACAACCACGTTGTCGTGAACGTTTGCGTAAATGAACGCCCCACGGTTTTCAGATTGCAATCTCGCTTACCTTTTCAAGCAACCGTCCCTCACGATTTTCCTTTTCTATATTTAGTCAAGATGTACAGGATGTAAAATCCCATCTGAAAAAGCACCATCAACGCCTCGACATCCTATTCGCAAACGCGAGCACATCCCACCCTCCAAGCTCGAAACTCACACTCCTCGAGCGAGCAACCGACATAATCAAAACCAACAACCTAGCAAACCACCGTCTCATCATGGAATTACTCCCACTGGTTCCAAGTGGCGGAAACATAGTCATCATGTCAAGTGGTTATGGAATCAAGACCAACATGCCAGCTGGACCTGCGAAAGAGAAGCTTACAGACCATATGTCGTTCAAGGAGTTGGATGATTGGTTGAATGCGTATGTCGATGCTATCGCTACTGGCACGCTAAAGGAACAGGGATACCCGGATATCCCCAATATTGTGTCGAAGGCAGGGCAGATCGCTTTTGCGAAAAGCCTCAACAGGTATTGTCAAGAACACGATTTGGGGATACGCGCTAATGCGGCGTGTCCTGATTGGGTTAGAACGTAAGCGTCAGTTTGGTTTTGTGTTGGTGCACTTCACTTTCAGCAGAGGCTCACACATTTACCATAGAGATGCCACGGCAGAGATACTTGATAAAGGGCTTGTAAAGCCCCCAAAAGTCTATACTGTTGACGAAACGGCCAACAATTTAGTTTGGTTGGTGACTTTGCCTGGTGAAGGTACCGATCAGCCAAGAGGAGAACTTGTAAGGCATCGAAATGTCATCAATTGGGAGGGTCAACGTGCCAGTGCAAAGTTGTAGTGAAAAAACCTAGTTTACCTCTTTGATGGCAAATGAATTTTAAATGCTTACATCACGAGTTGGTAAATGGTCAACACTGATCAAGTTTCGACACTTGACGATGTTTGACAGCTGCTATACGTACATCGACTGTACACTATCTACATGTTTTTACACAGTTAATTTAGATCCAACCCGACACAAAAGTCCCTCTCTATCTATACGATACATCACCACGGCGACTGCTACTCCTAGAAACAACAAAAGTACAAAAAACAACTCTACAGTCGTATATGTTGGGTCAATATTGATTAAACCAGCGACCATCATCGGAAAAAGAGCTTGAGAAGCGTTCATTATAGATGTTGCAAGACCACTAACATTCACAAAAGTCAATAAGATTTAGTTAATTAATTTCAACAACCTTCCAACAACAACTTACAATGCAGTAGCTAGCTGTTTCTCCTCGACAATTAACGGTATACACGCCCATGTTGTAATGAGGAAGCTATATGCAACCCCCAGTACGATTAATGCAAATATAGGAGTCGACAACAGCCCTACTCCAAGTAAAAAATGCACGATTCCCATTGAAGCTCCACACAAGACCAATACAGTGATTCTACCACCAGTATAGTCAACGACGGCACCACTCAATGGTACCAATATGGCCGATAGAAGATCCGGTATGCTCATTACTTGCGATGCGGTTTGTGGATCATTAGGAAAGTATCTCACTTGCAAGAATGCGGCATGTATCGTGTTGAATGGGAGAACTGCACCGTAAAAGGCGACTAGTATGATGCACAATTGCCAAAACATTAGAGGGAAGCTGAGAATCTTGCTAATAGTTTGATAAGTTAGACGTGAAATAGCACTGTAGTTGTCACAGTTGATAACATACCCCAGGAAGGTTCTTGAGCCCTCCACTGGCACATCATCCGTCAAGAATGGCTGCAAATCTTCCAACGTGTTTCCACGAGTCAAATCTCCTTCACCCGTCACCAGAGGAATCAACGATGCATCACCGTCATCAGCTCCTGCTATCTCTGTTCTAACACTATTGGATCTTTGCGGCACCAAAACATATAGCGAACCCACAAAAGATGCGACAGCAACAACAAAGCCAACCCAAGCAGCGAATGGGACTGATACCCACGTAGCTGCTAAAGGGCTCATTATATCGTTCAATACAGATCCAAATCTAGCTGTTGAAAGGTTTATCCCGAGAGCTAGAGCAAGGTCTTTACTTCCAAACCAGTTTGACGTTATTCGACTTTGCTAAGGAAGGTTTGAATTGATTGATCGATATGAGATCTGCGTTGCTGCAAAATCTGATAAAGCACATACAGCAACTCCAGCACTTTCAGCTCCAATACCAAGCAAGAATCGTCCCAGGTACATTATTGATAGCGATTTCAAGTTGACGCCAATAGCAAAACAGAATTGGCCTATAGCTACTAGAGCTAGAAGAATAACGAAAATGGCCGTGGTACCGATTCTGTCCATAGCAAATCCACAGATGAAGGGCAAAATGATGTTTGGAATGGAGTAGATGGTGTCTATCAAAGAATCAACGCGGTCAAATGCTGATTTTAGATTCGATTTGGAATCATATCATTGCAACGCTCGAATTACATACACATGAAGCTCAAGGCATACTGATATTCAGCAGGATCAACCTTCAACCAACTTTCTAGCGGTTTGTTGGTTGCTGCCGGGAGATCATAGATATAGTAAGCTCCTACCAGCGCACAGCTCGTACTCGCAAGTACCTTCCACCGGCTGTAGCCCGCATCTTTGCCCATTGCACATCTTTTATTGCTGAAACAATCTAAACATGTGTTTATTTAGTTTTACAATTTGTTTGTATGTGAAAATGAGATATATTTTAAACGTGCTCTTTATGTCATTCTATGCAGTACTTTTCGTATGCCATTCTATGCAGTGGTTTCCGTATATATTGATAATTTCTCAAGTATTGCTGTATCCAGTTGAATACCATCACCTTCTTCGCCCTCCTCACCAATATCCTTCATACCAACAGCTAGATCCGATGAGTATAATGGTCGTTTAGCACCAAATGCGATCTTCAATGCCTCTTCTCCTACTCTTCTAGCTGTATTACGCGAAGTAAACCAGTGATATATACGAAGTGGAAAGTTGGTCCAGCCTGTCAGGTTTTGACCTGAGATGTAACCTACTGGTGGTAGTGCGAATGCTGTTGGCATGTTGTCTATAGATAATACTGGTGGTAGAGGTGCTTCTGGCTGTGGTGGTGGTGCAGTAGTTGTTGATTCTGTTTCAGTAGAAGTTGTTACAGCAGCATCCTGCATCAAGTCCTGCTGTATCGGTGCTGCTATAGCTGCTGGAGCGACTGGATCTTCAGGCTTCTTACCAGCAACCCAATCATACCACGTCCTACTATTCCTATTGGTAGTTGACTGAATTATAGACGAGAAGGGCCGTCGCGACATTCTCTGTTCGTTCATCTTTCGTAGCTGCTCTTGAGCTTCTATAGCCTTCTCTTCATTCTCTCCTAGTGTGAGACATGCTTCATTGACTCCCTTCATGAGCTCTCTCCAGGCTCCTCGTCCAACAGCTACCAACCCCTCTGTTGGATCGTATGCTGGCCTAGGTGGTGGTATATATGGATTGTATGGTACATTCGATGGAGTTTTGTAGCCTCGATGTTCGGCTTTACCAGCCCAAATATAGTTCTTGACGTGTTCCTGTACTTTGAGAAGGTCGTCTGGTTGTATCAGCTCGTAATCCAATGCAGCTGCATCAAACACTGTAAAGAACGGATCAGAGTCAGTACAGATCTATCAATGATGTACCTAGATCACTGTATTCTAGACAGTTACGGTACCTGGCTTGACATACTCCTTGAAATTGTAACGTGCAAATTGACTTGGAGCAATGTAGAGCTGGATTCTTCTAGGCAACTCTGATGGCTGCATGGGCACATCGGCCAGCGGACTGGCTCGAGCCTTAAAGTCTGCAGCAATCTTTCTACGCTCAGACGTATCATATAATGCCAAGGCAAGACCTGTTGACGTGACCATATAAAAAATCATCCAATTCCTTGATGGAAGCTTCCATCCTGTAAACCATCCTAATGCCCGAAGCGCTGGGTTCGTTGGTTTGACTGGTACGGGCTCTGGGGGCAGGTTTGGTGGTATAATGTCGACGTTCATTGTTGAACTTGGTTTTTTTTTTCGTTGACGGAATGAACCGACGCAAAGACACGAACACGTTGATCAAAACACTCATCTTTTGAAGTCTTTTATCAAGTCTACTTTAACTGCTGCTATTGATCATTTTACAGCACGGTTGCCATTGCAAACCCATCATAAGATTTTGAACCAACAGTTTGAATGGCTGTAGCTTTGATTTTTGGATTATTTTCCATGGCATCAAACATGGCACGTACTCCTCTCACTGATTCGTCAGTGCTGTCTGCATCAACCACCTTCCCATCACGGACCACATTGTCTACTATGATCAAGGTACCCTTTCGAGACAATTGCAACGTCAAGTCAAGGTATTCAGCACAACTACAGTAGTAGCAGTATCAGTTAGGAACTTTTCTACTCGTGGTTGGGCAAAAAAAGGGGAACCCCTACCTTTGCTTGTCTGCATCAATAAACACCAAATCAAAAGCTTCCACACCGTCGTTGACCAAAGCCTTCAACGTCTCAGACGCAGCACCTGCACGAATCTCAATGACTTGATCAAGACCAGCCATTTTAAAATTAGCCTTTGCTACTTCAACCGCCTTCTCATCAATCTCACACGTAACAACCTTCCCTTCAGATCCGACACCACGTCCTAGATATATCGTACTGATGCCCGCTAGAGTGCCAATCTCCAAGACACGTCGAGCCTGCATAGATTGCGCCAGTATTTGAAGCATGGCACCTTGGAGGGGGGATACTTGGATCTGTCGTAGATTCGCAGCGTCGCTATTAGATTGAGCCTGTTCCAAGACGGTGTCGGAAGCATTTAGCTTTGATTCCAGATACGTGTCTACTCGAGCTGCCTTGTCCATATTTAGTCTGTATATGGAGGTAAGTTGTGCAATGTGAGTCGGGTGAAATTGTTCATTTTGATAGGTTGAGTCAACCGAATTTGTAAAAAGCGATAGTTGACAGCATAAATTGCATTAAATTACGCCTGTACCGCGTCGAACTCCCCTTCAATCGTCCGTGTTCTTTTAAAATTCACGTTCTTTCACCACTCACAAAAATTCACATCGCGTATATCAAGAAAACATGGTTCGAGGACACGTCGTAAGCGAACACTTGTCAATTCATTTGCCACATACAATTCCATCTAACTCTGCCCTTGCTCCTAGAACATGGGACTCTACACAGTCAAGGCACTAGTCTTGCTTGACAGTGAAGGCAAACGCATGATATCAAAGTACTATACGCCAGACTATCCAACCATTAAAGAACAGAAATCATTCGAAAAAGCTCTATTTGAAAAGACGAAGAAATCAAACAGTACGTCGTGTCCTGTTAAATCAAACATTTTGGGAGGGTTTGAGATTTACAGCACAATGCAAAGGAGTTTGACGAGACTGTGGAATTCCATTTTGGATTGTTTGCACCTTGTCTGGCACGACCTCACAATTGGTGGAAGTCATCCCCCTCATCACAAAACACCCTAACACACAAACACACTCACTTAGGCGAGATTATCATGTTTGATGGACATGTCATCGTATACAAGAATACTATTGACGTGTTTATCTACGTCGTGGGATCACCAGATGAAAACGAATTGATCCTCATGTCTGTGATGCAAGCCTATTATGATGCTCTTGGTCTATTACTCAAGTGCGACCCACTCGTTTTTCGCATCTTTACTGCAACAAACGTGTTACTGACACTGTTGTAACTATAGGACACAAGTTGAGAAACGTGCCATCAATGAAAACCTAGATGTTGTGTTACTAGCATTAGATGAAACGATTGATGACGGGTATGTCACATTGACGTAGTCTAGGTACTCTTTTTTTTGCTGATCAAACCTCTGACAACATTATTTCTATTAGCATCATCCTTGAATCAGATCCTACTCAAATCGCTGCCAGAGTCACAAGGAGATCAGATGAAGCAACAAATATACCACTTGCTGAACAAACAATATCACAAGCATTACAGAATGCGCGGGATCAATTGACTAGAACGCTTCTCAAGTAGAACAAAGCAGAAGTGTAATATTATATTGTCTCAAGTCAAGAGGAAAATAGAGATGCAACCGTTTGTACATACTTCTGTGAATAGTGGTTTGTTTTTGTCCCATAGAGCAAAACCGTCTAAAACGTTGAAGTATTAACAGACTATAAAACTTCCAACATCACTTGTCTTTTTTATTTTGAATCAACTACAAAAGAAGAGGGAAGGATGAGATGGAAGAGATTAGATGGGAACATTTTTTTTTGATTTATAATGGGATTTTTATGATGGGGGTTTCATGATTGTGTTGTCAATCGTAAAGACCGACTTTTCTTTTTTGTTGACGGTGGTGGTTGCAAATACTATCTATTACGTGGTGTCATTTGAGATACGGAATTCGAATTTGTGGCTCTCTACTAAAGTTGGAGTTGATTTCCAAATTATTGACATAAACTATTTCCCTACTACTTAATATAGATATCTCTTGCTCAACCAAGCATCTGCATCAGCGATTTCACGAGCAATTTCCGGTGCAATTTGCTTTTCAGATGCCAAGACTCGAGTCATTTCAGCCACCTGAGTCCACAAGTAGAATCCCTTCTTCAAATCTCCTTCGACATCTTTACAATACGAGAAGGTGGTCTCGACAGACTTCTTAGCCAATTGCTTGGCTACATCCAAAGACTTGTGTTCTACTACTTCGGCCCTAGCTACACCCTCTAGATATGCTCGTCCTATTATACCTAATGCGGTTGAGGGTTCAATGGAATATGGTAGCTTGTGCAATCCACATTTGAAGGCTTCATCCAAGACAGGCCCTTCACGTCGTGGACCCAACTCGTGCATGACAACACACATTAAAATCATTTCAGCAATACATCGGAGATCACGAGATACGAGTTTGGCAAATCCTTGGAAGACTAGCAAGTCACGATCAAGAGGACCAGTCCAATATTTTAGTGGATCGAGTGATACAGTGATTAAAGACATGACTCGTGATGCTAACTGGATATGACTAGCTACTACGGGTGAGAATCCTTCAATATCGGGACGTGGTTGATACGTTGGGTTGTAATTGGCAGAGTTGAGGCGGCCAGCTCGAATCAACTCTAGACATACTAGTAGTTCTTCATGCAAGGAAGCTGGGCGCGCTTTACCGGCATCCAAACCACGTTTATATGCCTTTCCTAGAGGAGTCAACGAGGAAGAATCATCTGTAAGCCCACGTAATTCGATTGTTCGTGCTGATACTAGAGCTTGGAATTCCGCGGCGGTAGTCGGTATCTTTTTTTCAGTCACTTGCTTTATAGTTCCTTTTTCTAATGCTGCTATACTGGTCACCAAGAAACGGGTATCAGCTTCTTTGGCTTGTTGACGGTTTAGTTCAGCATGGACCCATGCTGTGGTTCGAGAGAAGGTGAGGGGCAATACCTGTACTACAGTGGCTCGTTTCTGACCACTGATTTTATCAACATCGTTAATCCATCGTGCTGGAAGTGGTGGTTCATAATTATGGAGTACGGGATATTCTGCGTTGGGATTATACCAGTGGAGTGTGACAATCTTTTTTACTTGGTATGAGCGGTGCAGGCCCCAGGTCAGGAGACCAAATGCTTGTGCTCGTAGTTCAGCGATTTCTGCAGACTCTAAAAAGTTACGATATTCAACGGTTTCTCCATTGTCGAGTGGATGATTTTCTAGGTAATAACCAGATGCTAGGCCGTTCAATATAGTAGGAGATATCATTCCCTGTGACAAATAAAAGTAGATTTCATCCGGCAGACGTGGACCTATGAATTCATGGATATCTAATGGTGCGGTAGCTTTGTTTAATGGTTCTACGGTTGCGTTTTCAGTCAATATCAAGTGATGTTTTACAGCACTCCTAGCCCTCAAGAATTCATCGATATGATTCCTTTTAGCCACTGTTGGATGATCATGATATTGATTCATTGCAGATAAAGCATCGCCTCGACTCATGACAAAGTGGGCGGCGTTGGCAAAGTTGAAGAGCTCTGGTGGGGCTGGTTCCAACAATGGAAAAGTCCATACCCAATCGAATCCTGCTACTAGACATATATCGAGGAATTGATCAGGGTTCACCCGCATGTGGTTCAATATTGCACCCTTGTTGATAAAGGTGAAAACGCCACGGTCAAAGTCTAGGGCAGTAATGACTGAGTCGACGTCGAATAATAATATTTCGGTGGTTGAGTGGATGGCATTAATCCAGGGTCGATCGGGTGAGGATGATACTGACTGGAGATATGCCAGTTGAGCCCATGCAAAGTACGGTGCTCGCATGAATTCAACATTCTTCTCAGCTAATATACTCATAATTAAATATAGATAGTCCTGATAGTTCAGAGTTTTGGATGCGGCTAATACAGAGATGGCTTGGTCTCTTCGTCCACGACTATAGTCCTCCCAGGCCTTGTTACGCTTTCCTGGACGAAGATCCTCAGCAGTGAATGGTTTGTCCTAGAAAGGCGACGATTGAGTCAGTGAAACATAAGATAAAAACACCTGTCAACGGTGCTATCCATCAATCTACTGACCCGTTTGTTAATTGACATTCCGTTAAATACAAAGAAGGGCTGAATATCGTATTGTCTAAACCCGGCCAATTCACGATCTATAATAGTTTCCAGAGTAGATAATGGTGGAGTGCCTCCCATAGCGACTACAGTGCCAAGGATGGTATCCATTACACGACCTCCAGCAGTCATTTCAGAATTCATGGATCCATCGAGTGGACTCATGGAAGGTACCGCGTTGGAACGAGAAACGCCCTTCATGATTTTCCTAACCCATTGAGTTCCTTCAATACCGAGACGACATCCTCTGTTCAAGAAAACAAGACACATTGTTTCAGTCTGATATTAGCGAAATAGGGGACTAGAGGGAAGATTGACATACTTGAGCTGTGCTAATGGAGCCTCTTGTAGTAGCTGCCTTTCGGAGATGAAGGGATCGAGACTGCGAATTGGCATTCTTGTTTCTGATGTTGATGGCCAGAGGTTTGCAACAGCTCCAGCTTGACACGGCCACTAGAGCTTTCAGCTATTGCAATTTAGATAGCTAGATTGAATAATCTGACTTGAGCTCGACTATAGGGAAATGAAAAGGAAACTGTGGTGTCTAGAAAAGTTCAATAAGTAAACACGACGGTGGAGACGACAACTTTTGCAGCGAATATGTCTTACTACTCAAAATATAATACGATGTCACTTCACTCTATCTTTTAAACCCGCTCAAACGCTCCTATCCCCAAAATCACCTACTTGATGCAAACCCGAAAAGCTTCCTACTCTGTGAGAACGCTTCCGAGTAGAAAACTTGACTAGCAATTTATTTCTTGGTTTCTCGCGTTTAATATAAATGAAAAAGCCTTTAAACTAAGTTTCAAACGAACTTCCGAAATGTACAATGTGCGTGGAGGCCAAAACACGGACTTTCTGACACTTTAAACATAGTATCTGAACGACAGTTTCTTGTCTCCAATACGCGTATCTTCTCCCACTTCAGTCGACAATACACGTTCTCGTGAACGGTTCATGTATAGCAACCACGATCTGCGTTCACAAAGGCCGTTGAGTGTTAATCTTCCTTCAGATCCTCAGATCATTACGTGCCTACCTTAAGCACAAGGCCATGACCATCCACACCACACACATGCCCAGATTGACACTGTGCGCTTTTATGTAGTAAGGCTTGTCGGCTGCAAGATACAAGTTCGAACCTACAAGACCAGCAGCGTTGTTTGCAGACACCGCCATTGCAATAGCTACAGCCTTTTTCACTCCAGGAGCGATGTTAGAAGCCAGCCAGGCATTCACCACGGGATTTATAACGAATATGCCTGTGACAATGATAAAAATACCAAGGTATAGAACAGGAATTGACGGGCTGGCAGTGGTCAGCGGCACTACTACTAAAATGAGATATCCAATAAAGCACACTAAATCAACGAAAATGGTGGTCAGAGCTAGAAAGAGTTGTGATCGGGGCAGTTTCAAATTCTCGTTCACCGAAAACTGCACCCAATGCGTGGAATGTTCGTTCATGATACTTGTCACTATGGAAGGCCACAATGACCATGACGATCGCTGCCATCACGTATGGAGGAGCAGTCAAAGCATTTGCTACCGTTCCTGAATAACCCAGCCCGGAAACAATGGTAGGTAGAAAGCTAATAACGAAGCCGCATTGTTAGATTCTGATGCTGTGCTATAAAACATTCAAAATACGAACTTTGAAATTGACGTATTTGGTATGGACCCGACAAAGAACATGGCCATCCAAAACCAGACTTTGGGGTCCTTGAATGCCTCAAAAACCTCAACACGATTGACGCTGTTAATATCAGCCAGTGTTGCATGAGTTTCTGGTTCATGCAGCCGTAGTCTCGCAATAGCTGCTTGTTTCTCTTTCGGTGTGAGCCATCTGCATGTCTCTGGTGACAATGGAAGATAGAAACTAGATTGAGCGAAGTAGTGTTAGAAGACAAGCATTGAAAAAAGCAATACTGTGACAAGCTGTAATACATACTATGCTATCACGGATAGCGCGATTGTAGGAACTGATTCAACCAAGAATAGCCACTTCCAGCCGCTTAAACCACTAGATCCTCTGAGATTGAAGACGGCATAAGCCAACAGGCCTGCGAATGCATGAGCTAATAGAGACAAATGCTGAGAAAACTACTGCTTGCTCGAACTGCCGGATCTAAACGTTACCAGCAGTAGAAGAACCCCAGAAGAGCGCAATCCGTGTAGCCTTCGTTGGAAGTTGTTAGAAATTGTGCGCAGAGAATGTTCATTACGTTTTATTACCAGTTCATTCGACTTGTAGAATGTCGTCAAATAGAATATAACACCTGAGAAACAAAAGCAGAGTCACTAACGCGACTTTCAGTATAAAGCGATAGAAAGCTGAAAAGTCGAACTGGAGTATTCTGCAAGGTAAGTGGTCTTGACTCAACGTTCTTTTACCTGGAAAGAAGCCCGCTTCAGCGAATCCGAGCCAAAACCTCACTGCAAGTAAGCTAGTTAGAAATTGACATTTGCAAGTTTCAGATTTCCCCTTACCCAGCAGTAAAGTTGTGAAATTCCACACAAACATGGTACATAGAGACACAATTCCCCATACGAACATGATGACTGGAAGCCAAATCTTCGCAGATAGCCACCTTAACATGAGATTGCTTGGAACCTGAAAGGTAATATACCCGACATAGAAAAGAGTTGAAGCTGTATTGAATTGATTGCCGACCAGTCCCAGATCTGCCTCTAAAGTGTCCAATCTGGCATTTCCCAGACTGGACCGATCCAGAGAGTTGAAGAAGTACCTAAGCAAACCATATGGAATGCGTAAGAAAGAGCTACAGACTCTCACACGCTCCATATAATAGAATATCCCGTTGTGGTGAGACGAAGTGCATGTTTTTGACTCGATCTGCCGTTGTGAGTTTGGCAGCAACGTACATTAGAGCTAAGAATGGTATTAACCGGCAGTCAAACTTTGAGACAAGCGATGCTTCAATTTCCGGTTCAATGCTATGCATTGGCTCATTTGACGGCGCTCCGTGAGTACTTTGTGACGTTGTTGCATCACCATGTGCAGTGGTTCTTGATTTGATTCTCGACAAGAATGCAGCACGTTTATTAGAGGAAGGGGCTTGATCATCATCACCACCTGATAATGAAGATGCAGCGGCTAGCAATGCCGACTTTTGTCTCTCATGTCGCTCTTGTTCGTCAATTTCTGCACTGAGTGTTTCTTCGTCAATGCTGGGGCTTCCAATGAATTCTGTGTGTTGATTGCTCGATATTGCGTTTGAATCAAGCAGTTGGTCGGCCACTGAGGTGTTCTTTGGTCTTTTCTTGAACATGACTTTGCTGCACGTGTTTTCTCATAGTCTGCTGAAGTAGTTATGTAGCGAACCTTCGCCACCGACGCGTAAAGACTTGGAGAAGCATCTCAGTAGCAATATAGATCGTCGCCAAAAGGGGAATACACCAAGAGATACTCGTAATTATGTGTTTTTGTTTTGGTTCAATATAATATATACACACAGCAACAAACACACTCCCCCCCTACAATCTCGTTCCAGCAAGATCAGCAAGTTCATTTCACATAGTTCGTTTCCCTCCAGAGACCAGCTCGCCCAATACACTTAATGATTGATTAATTTGTTGATGTGGTTGAGCTTGTGATAAGCTTCTCCCAAAGAAGCTCGGAGGGTGGTCACGGCATCTTCAGGATGACTAGCCAATACTTCGACCATTGCCTTTCTGAACCCAGATCGGCCGTTCAACATCTTTTCCAACTCTTCTACCTCTGCTGACGCAGAAGAACTGCTTACAGAAGGCGACGGGCTGAGTGGTTTAAAAGCAGCTTGAATATGACCCATTGTGCTGGCAGTGTGGTCGTAATAGTTCTGAGCAAAGACGCTTGGTGCTACCAAACTCATAGGCGAAACGAATCCCATTTGCGAATGGGTTGGTGGATAGAAGGAGTTCAGACCAGCCTAAAGGAGAAGCAACTGTCAGTGATTCGACACCAAATATTGCACACACAATAATAAATTAGGATTGCATATATGATTTTAGGTAAAAGGGCACTTGTGAAACGTTGGGTTCAAGAGATTAGATGTATACTCACCAAATCAATACCACCAAATTGAGGCATATCATACTCAGGCATATTCAGGTTTACAGGGTGAAACATTCCATGATAATCCGGCATTAACATAAAGTTCTAAGTGCAGGCAAAAGTTGCGTTAGAGATGTAGGTCAAAACATCGTTTGCTGATGAATGCATAGAAAACAAAATAAAGACTATGTACAGAAGTCTGAGTAGGATGGAACGTAACATGCCCATGATTTCCATTTGCTCTTGTGGGAGAAGTGGGCGACAACAGCTGAGTGTTATTGTTGTAATGGTTTAGCGAAGCAAGATTGGCCATCGGTTCTAAAGTTACTTGTTGACTTGGTTGTTCCATGCCGATGAAGCAGTATAGATTGCCTTGTCTTATTATAGTCGTTCTCCTTTTGTAATAGATTCTTCGTCGGTTTGTGATTGCTTTTGGTATTAGGAGAAATGGGGGGAAATTTCGACTCAGACGCAAAAGCTCCAACTTCACTCACCTGAAAGACTTTGGCTATTTTTAAGCTGAATCATGGATTAATGATGATAGATGACTCGAGCCTACGCATCCTTCTAAGACTTGAACTAGTTTACGATAAACTTTGATACATTGTTCGAACGCCCACTGGTTCAAGCTAAAAACGCGATTGCTTCTCAAAAAAGATTCGTCACGATTTTTGTTATTTGCAATTCTGTTTCTATGGGTTCATGTCATCGGGCTCCCTTCGCAAACCACGAGACGCCCGGTTTTCTGACAATCATTCGCCACACAAGTGTCAAAACAGTCTGAAGTTTCAAAATCAGAAAGTTCATTGTTTGCTTCCCAAATCAAACAAAAACGTACTTTTATACGTTGCATGCTTCAGCTATTAGAAGCAGAGCACCAAATGGCCCTCAGTCAATCGTTATCGTTACGTCCATCGGTTCAAACTCAACCTTCAACCCCACACAGCGAGACAAGTGGTGGAGATGAAACATCCAACAATAGCCAACTATTTACGTCTCAAAATGCTGGCAATGGTGAACCAGCCATAAAAACTGAAGCAGATCATCAGATGCCTGACTTGCAAGGATTTGACATTTTTGGTCAATCCGGGTATTCTGACTTGTACCATCATGCTATGCCAAACGAGTCTAATGGGAGTCAGACAATGGTAAATCACGAAAATATATTGGCAGCTGAGGTTGATGATCAAGTCTTGAATGCTACTCAGGTAATGCTTCAAACCTGTTTCAAACACCTCGTGCTTTAGCTTTGCCCGTTATCTGACAGCAGCCATCTGACTCACATGTTTCATATCTTGTTTGTTTAGACCCTCATATCTTTGCAACAAAACCCTGCTGGACCACCAGGTCCAACTACATCACATCATAGTCTTCCAACGCCACCTTTGAATGCAACAGTTTTAAATCCCCAGTATTACGGTTTCCCTCTTCAAACACCTGAATGGGATCAGAATGGTGTTGGTCGAACATATCTGCCACCAGGTCATCCATATATGCAAAGGTTGAGCGTGTCTCCATATAGATTTGATAGATCGCCTCATATTTTGCAAAATGCCTTTTTGCATCCAGGGAACTCTCACTCTCCACCTGCAGGTGCGATGGATGGAAGATACATGGTAAATCCGAATCGTTACAGCTTGCCACCATCTTTTCCGGTACGTGTGCAATATTCATGGTGTGTTGCAATACAAAGTTGGAGAGTTGTGACGGGTTGACTAACAACATGTGACAATCAAACCTCTTAGCCCAATGCATTGTATCATCCGTATAACACTGGTATTCCATTCTTTCTAGCTCAACAGGTATGCCATTCAAGAGTTGACGGCAAGACACAAAGCATGGTGCATGCTGTGTTTCGCAAGAGCTTGAATCTGACTGTGACTCTCGTCCACAGGGTGTAAACCCCATACACATCAACTTGCAAGATGCGCAAGCGGCAGCCAACAGAGGCAGTTTGGTGTTGACGCCACTACCATCTCCATTGTTGCGTGCACCTAGCCTTCCAGAGAATGAACAGGAGTTCATTAGAATGATTCCAGTTCTGACACTGCCCAACTACAGTCCTCAGCTTCTTCAACACGCTCTGGCAGCGGTTGAAACCAGGTTGGGTGAACTTGAGTCTCCAGATGATGAAGCTGGTTGAATGGCTGCAGTGAAACCAAGATTGGGTGGGCTCGCTTAGTCTCGATTGAATGTTTTTTAAACCTATATTAATCAAAGAACAGGAATGAGTAGTAGAATAGTCGTAACATACCCATTAAAGACTTTATAAACTATATAATGTCCCCATATCCAACTTGAGACTCCACAAAATATGAGAGTATATTAACCCCTCACAAATGTATGTAGTGTGTGAGTCAATGCGAGCTTACCAAGGGAGACCGCAGAAAGACTCTATTAATGTCCGACGCGACAGAGTACTGAACGCCGTTAGCTTCCAACCGCCAAATTTCTTAGACCGAATTGATTTTGTTAAGCTCAAGGATACCTAAATCTTCAAATGGAGTTGTAAATATGTGGAATGAAGCAAGGATCAGAGAAGAAAATCCCATCTTGACGTGTGTTTATTCCGGTATGTGCTTCATTTGTTGTCAGATACTAACGACCTTTCTGGGGGAGTCTTGCTTCATCAAATAGACGATTGAAAGACCCAGCTGACTCAAGGTGTTCTACGAAGAAGGGCTAGGATACATTGCTGTGTTACTGCTATGTCTCCGATAGGTTAGAAGTCGTGGATTATTCTCGTTGCGAGAAATGAAGTAACCTTAAATTTTAATAGCTCAACAAGTGGTGTGGTTTTGAGACAATTGTGTGGCCAAAGTGCACTATTCTGGACGCGTTTACTCTATTCGAATTGTATTTCGATTCTACGTCCACTCTGTCTCCAGGAAGTTCCTCTCTCAATTGCCTCGTTGCCGAGGTTTTCTGGACACTGTAGCAACAATGAACGCAAACTCTAAATTCGAAAAATCCTACGATTGATTTGGGAGATTTCCTCCACTCTTCTTTCCTCAATTGCCAACACCTCGACCTACAGAGTAATAGCTGCCTTATTGAATTAAGCACACATCACATCTACACTCCTCATCACCATCCATTTCTAAGGTAAGATCCACCACCTGCTTCTTCAATTACATCTATTCATTGCTTATTTCCGACGTGTCAGAGTATCTAACACGCTTTCATACTCTCGAATAGAAGGAACAATGGCTGTCGCAAACACCGACTTGTATGGTCAAACCACAGCTAGTTTGTTCACATCTGCATTTTGTGAGTTGCCATCAAGTGTTGTTTCATTCTTGACGCATAGTGACCCATGCTGCGTGCCTTAAAAAGCTTCCATCTCACCCGATGCTTCTAAATTCATAGGTTTGATCCTCTTCATCATTATTGTTTCTGTTCGTGAACGTGATGACAAGGATTGGGCAGTAAAACTACTCGTTTATACCAATCTGTATGCCCAGAGGTGAGTATTGGTATTTTGAAGTTCAACTTGTGCCTATAAGAATCACACTTGAGGCCTCTCCCCAATGCTAACTCTTTCTGTTTTCTACTTTAGTGTTGGTCTCTTTGTTGGTATACCACTTCGATACGCTTACACGTCGCCTACCGGAATCTTCAATGCCGTCACCCCATGGTATTACGACTCGTCCAAACCAACTGCTGTTGTCATGTGTGGTACTGGAGCGCTCTGTAAGATTGCTTCCGTGTCAGTTTGAAGATGCAAACCGCAGCAATTGACTGACGCCTATCTTTTCCCATCAACTCGCAGGTGGATTCACAGCCATCAGCGCCTTCTTCATTCAAACTTGCACTGCTCACGTTCACACTTGCTAGTAGTATGGTAGTGGGGGAA